CCGGGGCTGCGGTTACAAGTCTTGGTGCTTTTCGGGTGTGTTTTACGAGTCCGTGCTCATTCCTGCGTTCAGGTTCATGTGCATCTGTATCGCAGATGGAACCTCACACCGAAACAGTGATTTTTCAAAGCAAACATTTAGAACTTGCTAAAAGTACATACGCCTTTGCACCTGCTTGGTGTATTTACTGTAGCTTCACCCAAGAGAAGTCTGGAGCAGGTGGGCTCGGGGTGTCATGGTTTTGGGTTGTTTGGGTTTTTTAACTGAATAGGTGCAGTATTTAACCTGGTGGCATTGTGAGGTCGGGGGTGGGGGATGTGATGTGAAGCAGGCTGGCTTTCATCTCCTGCCCATGTAAACAGCTGTCCTTGCTTCTTGATCTATTTTGTGTTCCTGAAGCAGCGCAGCACTCTCATCTCTTCAGTTTCTGAATCTCCTTGTTCTCTTTGAAGAGGACAAGTTTTTCAATATCTTTGGATTTCAAAATATTATTTTGCGATATATTTTTAATATTTTGGGAACACACTGCTTCCTGTATTCTTTATGTTGGCTTCAACTTAGGAAACTGTGTTGATTTCAGGAAAATGAGCATGGGTTTTGGGAGAGGAGGGAACTGCAGGAAAGGCTTTGGAGGACTGTGGGCATCAGGATGAGCCACAGGATCACAGAATGTTGGGGATTGGAAGGGACCTCAAAAGATCATCTAGTCCAATAGAAATAGAAAAATCACAGAACATTGGGGATTGGAAGTGACCTCAAAAGATCATCCACCCCACCCCCCCGGCCACAGCAGGAACCTAAACGAGATTACACAGGAAGGCGTCCAGGCGAGTCTTGAATGTCTCCAGAGGAGACTCCACAACCTCCCTGGGCAGCCATGTTCCCTTAACGTCCCCAATACACAGAACTAGGTCCTCTTCTGTTCACACAGTCCCAACCCCCCAGGAGCAGCTTCCAAAAGTTTCTTTGAGTGTGGAGTTGGGGAGAAAGTGCCAGCTATCAGCAGAGTCTATCATTAGAACTTGATTTTGCATTTCATTGCACTTGGTGCGTCTTTGCACTTGCACAATACCCCTTTGGGTATCCAGGTTGCAGGTTGTGCAGCTGTGCAGCCAGATACCAGGCTTGGATATTTTATTTTTGGTTCAGTTGCTGGGACGCATGATTTGCTGAAGAATGAATGATGATTGTTGTCTTTCTACATACAGCAAGCTTAGTTCTTTTCATTAACAAAGAACATGGAAGCTAAATACTATGAATTACATCTCGGTGGTGCAGACTGGCTGTCCCTTCAGGTTTCAGTTAGATCCCCTCAACCATACTGAACTTCTTGTCCAAACTGCAATTTAAATTGGCTTGGTGCCCATTTCTTCTTCCCATACTCGGTGCAAGAGTGCTTTTGGCTTCCATGTTCAGAAAGGTGCACTGCACTGGGACTGCTGCAGCACGAGAGTGCTGCATTGGCATCGTCCCATAAGGGAAGAAGAGCAGAGAGAAAAATGTGTTAGACCACAGAGTTCATAGACCAAAAGATAGAACAGATTTTTTTGTCTGAAGGCGATTGAATGCCGTGCCCTTAACCTATGAAATTGTATTTGATAGCTCAAAGAGATCATTTCGTATTTGTTTTCAAATATGAAGATGAGAAACACTGAGTGGATGCCAGAGAGGATCCACATCAAAAACATTTTTGAGGGCAGTAAAGAAAATGTTAGTCCTGACATTCTTTACACAGGACAAGCTATGTTCAACCTATTTCATATTAATAAAGTCAGGCTAGGTTTTAAAATATTTACTCAGCAATCATTAAACCATGTATTGATTTTCTTTACTGCAGTGAATCATAACTGTTACTGCTTGGGTTTTTTTTTTAATACCACCAGACATAATATAAATCTTCTGTGCTACTTCAATTTTTTCTTACTATTCCCATCTTTCCCCATACCACATTGTCTTTCTTTTCGACTGTGTTCTCTTTCTTTCAGTATTCTGATCCTGTGCTACCACGCATCCATTTTTGCATCATGGCATACATGCAGATTTGAAAGTCAGCAGTACAGCAGATAATCAAAATATACAACCTAACAGTAAAAGGCGATTTAAAACGGGGGAAACAAAAAAAAAGGAGAGAGACAACCTCCTGTTTGGAGCCAGTTTGTGCTGGCTTTTTGTGGGGGACCATGTCTGGCTTGTCATATTGGAAACTCAAGACAATCCTCTCATGCTGGCAGGCTGATCCTGCTTCTCTTTAGATAGCATTTATTGTTCCTCTTCCAGTGTCAAGCCTCCGCAGAAGGGAGGATCTCGCTGACCACAGCGTTAACTTCATAGCTGCTTGTTTTGTTCTGGTGATAGAAAGTGCCTGGTGGTTTTTCTGTTGCAGTACGAAAATTGCTTAGGTGTCTTTTTTAATTTTTACCTTGTCAGAAGAGTTTGCAGTTAGTCTTCTGATTGCAAAAGGTAACTTTTTTTTTTTTTTGTCCCTCGTTAGAACTTTGTGTTAAAAAAACAAGAACAACAACAACAAAAAAAACCCAACCAACTAACCTTCTAGTTTCCTGGTTGTCTTGACATCTTTTAAAATCACTGCTTATGTGCTAGCATGTAATAGCTATCTATTTATCTATTATATCTATATATCTATCTGGTTATCTATTATCTATAAGATAATATTTATCTAATAATAATCTTGACTTTCTTCAGATATCTCAAATCAGTGCTAACAGTTTTGGAAGATGTATGGGTTGTTTTGGGGATTATTGGTTTCTTTAGCTTGCTTCATGCATAGGCAGGCGAGAAGTCTAAAATTACTAATGTGTAAGGAGGGAACATTTTCTCTGTACCTCTCCCTTAACTCTTCCTTTAATTGTTTGCTTTCCCCACCTCTTTTGTGACTTAGTTTGCAAAGGGCTGGGAAGATAAAACAGCTTAAAATACAAGATTAAAATCTCAGGAGAGAGCATCAGGAGTGACATAATATTTAGCACCTGGAACATCACTTAAAATCCTCTGAAAACAGCTTCCATGGTTGCCACTGTTTCCTCTATGTACACATAGGCTATACTCTCAGAGGAACTGAACTTTCATCCGTTTCAGATAATTATTTGTTCATCTGTCAAGAAGCATATTTTGACAGCATATGTCTCCTGAAGGTCCAAATCTCTGCATCCATTGCAGTAGGATGTATATGTAATGTCACTTTTCCTGATTAATTTTAGTATTGCAGGATAGAAAGTTTCACAAGACAGTTGCATTAATACTGTTAAGCATTTGCTTGGCTTTGCATGAAGCCTCTGACTTGTTGCCTAATTAGTCATCTGATACCCTCCCCTACCCTCCTTGTTTTGAAACTTCCTCATTTTGAAGATTAAAGGGGCTCTTGTGTTTGACCTTTTGCTCCAGCTATGCAGAGGCTGGGACTGCACTGCAGTGAAGCCTAGGAGACACAGAGCTGCTGGTCCTATACTTTCATCTCGTGTGTAGGAAAAACAAAATTCATTTCATGCTTTCTCCCAGCCACTGGAAACACTACAAAAAGAAAACACATGGTAACATGCAGAATCCGATCCTACTTTAAAATTCCTGTTTCCAGTTGTAACAAATTATATCAGTGTTTAAGGTCGGTGGCATTGTGTAAGACATCGTATTTTCTAGATTAATGCATTCAAAACAGATAATGTGATTACCAAGGAGGACACATACATTAAGTAGTAAGTAATATAATTAGTACAGCCAAATAAATATTGGAAATCAAGGGCAGGGAGGGAGGGAGGGAACTGATGGAAGCGTTCCTACATGTTTTCATTTCTGTTTTGTCTCCCAAACACTTGTTCTTTGGGAGCCTCTGTATGGACTCCCAGAATAGCATGTGTACCTTTCCTTCTTTATAGTGGGACATATTGTGCTCTTAGGAACTTCCTGATCTGCTCAGGCAGCTCAGGGACCAAATCTGGTCTGCTCTCAACTGGCTTGAAGCACAAGTGCAGCTAGTAAGCATTTGCTTGTATTTCTCTGGGTAAAACATGCAATTATAATTGTGGTGTGTATATGCATATGTTTATGTATGTATACGCATGCTTTACGTAATTGATGGGAAAACACCCTTGCCTTCACTTTGACTTTGCCTAAACATAGTTCTCAGACTTTCATTTGTAAGTAGCCATGCTTACAGGCATGAAGGTAACTAGGTTTTAGTTATATTCCTGAAATGCGCCTCTCCTAATATTTAGCACCAGTTCAGCAGCACTTTTCCACACTAAATAAAAAGAAGTCATGCTGTATAGCTCATTCCTCCAGCTGAAGTAATTTACCCAAATTTCAGTGTGCTTTCTCTGTCCCAGCTACAAAATGAAGCTTAACACTAAGCATAATTAATGAGTGATGCTGCAAAATGAGATTATGAATTGAATGAATGGAACAAACTGGTCCATACTGAGATTTAAGGTTTCCAAACTTTGTCTAAAGAATATGCTTTCAAAGGGCTCTTCATTGAATCACACTGAGTAAAAATGGGTTTGTATATTTATCATAAGCTTGTGCTTGCCTTGGACTGCACTAGGCAAGTTGTCTGAAGGTCTGTCTGTCAGACAGCTTAGGGAAGTTGCTGTCTGTCTCCTACTTCTTGTTTTCTCCTCTGCACCCTTTCCAAAGTCCCTAGACTTTCTCCTCCTTTATTATCAAATCATAATGAATTGAATTAGCTGACTAGTCCTAAAGTTTTAATTCAAAACTAAGTCTACTAGAATAACAAAGGTTTTAACAAAGAAGCTACATAGTAATTTTTCACTGTCTTTACAGTACGGAGAAGAGTGCAGGAGTAAAACATACCCTCCTTCAGGACCAACGTAAGTAATCTGCTTCGGCTTATCTAACAAATTGCAGGAAAACAGGAATTTGCAAGTCTCAGCAGGTTTTTTTGTAACTTGTTTCTGTTGCAGATCTAGAAAATGCTAGTTACAGGTGGGAAGCACCTATTTTGTTAAATGTTTTTTCAAAGCCTCATTTAAATTTGAACTCTGATACTTATCTTTCAGGTTCAAAGGGAATATACCCACATATGTCATAAATCTTGATTTACCTCCCAGCAGAAGATGGGATGACTTGATGCACGACAAAAAGACAGAGGTATGAAATGAAGAGCTTGCTTTGAATTTTAACAGGTAAAAAAGTAGCACGTGGCCTTTTATTTTGAAAAAAGGTTTGGAAGGGAATACCTGTGCTAAAATTCTCTGAAAGTGGTAATATTTCTAGTTCACTTTTTTAACACGATTGTAGACTAAAATAATTGCTTGAGTAAAACTTTCTTCTGTTCAGCACTTGAGCTGGCAGCATCAAGCGTAGAGGCACTGATGTTTGGGAGGTAGAGGAATAAAAAACGGTGCAGCATAAAGCAGGCTTTTGTTTTTCAAAGCTCTTTAGTCATGAAGTAATACAGAATGAAAGAGGAGGAGCGCACCAGAGAGACAGCCTCAGTAAACTGAAGTGAAGCCAAGGCAGCATCCCTGCTTCCCTCAAAACACTGCGTGAGATGATGAAACGGCAGGGTGGAAACTAACTTCCTGCTCTTTTCAGGGATGCTGGTTGTGGCACTGGGGTTTACACAGGATAAATAATTTTTAAATACTCAAGCCTATTTCAAAGTACTTTGAACAGCAGTACTTCTCCTAAAGGTTGCTGAAAATTCAGTTCAGTAATGCTTAATTTCTCAAAAAAGGGCAGGAATTTTTGCTGACTTTGACCTTTCAGCTCTGAAAGCCAGACAAATTCTACTTACACCGTAATATTTATTTTTAAAGTCTCATTTAAGTCAGCAGACATTGGAAGTTTCAGGTTGCACCTTAAATTCTGAAAGGTTTTATCTCTCATGTACGTTGGAGTTAGATCATATAGAGTGGAACTCTTACCTGTGGCCATTCACGTGTTGCAAATGGAAAGCCTGTATTTTTATAAGAAATTTATTGAGTTGTCTTGGCTTCAAGAATGTCAGTGCTTAAGCAAAGGGCTTTTAATTAACATTTTTAATGATAAAAGAGTGCAGAGTATTAAAATGTGATCAAAGAGCAGAAAATGAGGATGGCTTTTCCCTGTAATCTGTGTTCTCTGGTGGACGGACATGTTGGAGCTAATCTAGGAAGTTATTTGAATAAAGCTTGAAGAGTAACTTGTCAGTGGGAAGTTGGGGCTGTTTTTCTCACCAAGAACATCGCATTTAGCACTTTCTTTGAATACGTGGGGTTTTCAACAAAATATGTTTTTGAAAAGTATGTGAAGGAGTTCTGTTAGTATTCTAGCAGTTCTTATGCTCAAGATCTTCCATTCAATAGAAGCCCTTTTTCTTTTTAGCTGAAGACTGTGGTCCAGAATATTAAAGATATAGCAAACACCTTCTTCCCCAGTGGCAAAATTGTTGACATAGTGGATAACAAAATAGTAAGTATTTTCAGCTTAATTATTTATTTACTGTATGCTCGGACTACCAGAATTAGCATGCTACTAAGTTTGGCAATTAGGAACCTTAAACATGATGATTCCTCCACTTCCAGAACAAACATGCTGTTTTGAAGAGTTACTCTGAAATGTTGCCACCTTGGTGAAATTTTGCCTACTCTGAATTGCTCTGAAACCATCAAACCTAAAATTCATATGTCTCTTCCTCCTCAAATTTTTTCTAAGATCTTTTCAAGTTTGCAGTAGTCATACTAGACATAAATGCTACTGACTTAGTCACTGTAGCAAAACACTTCAGTGAAATTCTCTTTGCCGTGTTCAGCTGCTTTTAAACAGTAGAATAAAATCTGATCTTGAAAACTAATAAATTTCTGATCACAGGGGCAGCTTTGACCAGGCCTCATCTTGAAAAGTAATTTGCTTCTGATTACGATAGGCTTTGGCATAGACTCAGGACAGGAGAAAACAGTGTAGCACTAGAGACAGAATAAGGTCAAATCTGTCCCCCATCTTTATTTTCAGCAGCCTTAGGCCATGTTGGCCACTTCATTTGTATCCTGATGTGCCTGAGTGGGGTTGACATGAAGGTAGCATATCCAGGTAGTCATACCAATGTGTGGAAGTTAGGGATTCCCTTGAACACTGACGTCAAACTCGGTTCCAGTTAAGCTCTTAACATACAAGAGTCCTACTTCACTCTGTTCTGTCTCTTCCTGCTAAATTAAGATACTGTGCTAATCTCTATTGCTCACATGTCAATATTTTGATAAGGAATAGTTTTTTTCCTTTGCCTAAGTATGTACTTTTCTTCCAAGTACTCTACAAACATCCTCAAGTTTTACAGGCTGCAGAGGAATTAAATACTCGATAGTTGTGAGAAGGATGTGCCTACTGGGGCGAGGTTTGTTTTAAGTAACAAAATAGCGGTAATTTTCGCAAACAATGTACAAAACTTTTCCTTTCAGGCTCATCTGACAGCCACGCTTCCTTATCCTTTCAATGAAGAACTCCAAGGGATTGCAAATACATCTGGGATTCCTTTGGGTAATAGTTTCCAACACTTTATTAATGTAGTGGAAAACTAGGAATCCAGGCTCATTTAAAATTAGTATGTGTACCAATCTGCAGTATAGTTGTAGTCATCTATGACTTTCACAAATAAATTATTTATTAATTAGAGCAATAAATTGCTTCTCACACTAAAAGAAAACAGTATTTTCGAGGAGAATGGCAATAAATCACATAAGCCTTTCATCAGGGAGCTCCTGAGTTTTGGGAACCTGAGTGAGTCTCAGCTCCTGTGCACCAAAATTTGAGGGAATCCTTGATGCTCGTTGGTTTCCTATTCAGCTGTGTGTCTACTGTTGATGTACCAAGAAGGCAAAGCTCAGTTTCATGCTGTGTGCTGTGCTTTCTTTCCTGTGTGATCCTTGCCACATCCTCCTGCCTTCCTTCCACACCTCCTGCAAAAGAATGCAATTCCAGGTGAGAAGTAGACACTGAATTCTTCCAGAATTGAGCCAGAGGAGTTCCATAGACCTGCTTCCACTGCTTCCCTCATACAGAACAGTACACCTGGTACTAGTCAGCAGCTCTTATGTGGGAATAGTGATACATAAAAGCAGCTTTCTTCTTTAAAGTGAATTTTATGGTTTGTTTTGAAGTTTCCAGAAGAAGAAGTAACAATGACTGTCAGCTTTCTGTATGGTAAGGTAGAAGGCCAAGGGCTTCTGACTCTTCTGTTTGCCTTTCAGGAAGGTCTTGATTTTGCTGAACCAGTTATTTCAAAGATAAAATGAGATTTAAGCAGAAATCCTTAAGAGAAATATTATAGAATGCTGAACTTTGCAGTATGCTTTTTTCTAACATTTTTTTTCTGTTCATGGCAAAACTTTCAAACTATTGAATTTTGTTTCTTTTTGTTCTAGGAGAAATTGTTATTTTTAACATCTTTTATGAAATTTTTACTGTATGTACCTCGATAGTGGCGGAAGATAAAACAGGTAATGCAAAGCAGAATACTGTTAACAGTTTTCTCTTATGTAGGAGAGAGTCAGCCTCAGTTATACATAGTCCTCGACTGCAGACAAGAAGGTCTAGTAGAAGAGACTAAAAGCAGTGATAATTAAAGGTATTCCTTGAGAAAGGAATAAGAGATCACAAGTGTCTTAAGTTAAAAAAAGGGAAAAAATACTTTCAAGATGGTTTGGTTTCAGTTTTGTTGGATGTTTTTTGTGGTTGGGGTTTTTTTAATATATTTTTTATTGGTGGCATTTGTTTTTCTAGGGGAAAGAAACACCAGCCAGGCACCTGATACTTTCTCAGTGCCATGAGGGATTCTAGTGCAAACATTTTTGCATCTAGTTGCTAGCTATCACATATGTATGGTGCTAGAGAAAATGGATAGTATGTTTTAAGAGACTCTTTTATTCTCTTATTCAGTTCTGCAGCCCTTATCTGCACCTCTTCCAGCTTAGGAAATTTCTGAGTGATTCCCAGTAGGCTTACAAATGCCTCACTTTTAGAAGAAGCTCAAGGTATTACCATTGCATTAAGATAATATGGAAAGCATCTGAGGCTGAGATGGACAGCAGTTAACAATATTCCATGATTTCAGTTATGGCAAAACACTTCTCTGATCCAAAAAAACCCACCATTTTTCTGTGCTTATGAAAAGAGCAGCTGGAGAGTGGTATTTTCTCTGCTTAATTTCCTGGGTTATTTTTCCTCCTTGCTCATATTCTGGTGTTCTAAGCTGAAATTTATGTGTCTCTCTTTAGGAAATGTAATTTATTTATTTATTTATTATGCAGGGAAGCTGTACCATGCCAGAAACTTGGATTTTGGACTCTTTCTGGGGTGAGTACCTAAACTTCTGCTTTGCTTTTTTTTTTTTTTAACCCAAAGAAAAAGCTATCTGAACTTGAGATTTCTGCATGTATTCCTTGAGTCTAAATGATGAATTGGATGTTGCTAAGACTGTGACAAGTAATTCTGCATTGCATGTTGTGGAAAAAAGCTAAAATGAATGAATGGGTTGTTCTGTTGATCTTATGTCAAACTGCTCCGGTCTTGTTGGGAATGACTTTATAAATCAGTTGTTTTCAGAGTTACATACTGTTTTCTCAGCTCCAGTTAAAACCTGTCTTGAACCAAAGAATGGTCCATGTAACCTTGTCTCTGAGGCTCAGTATATCTTGGTTTTTACGTGCTGAGACAGAAGCATCAGTTGTAGTGTATGCAGTGAAATTGGATTGGATTTGGGCTTCTGTGGTTGGGGTTTTTTTCCAAATTATTCCCCTAGGTACAGTACTGTGCTCTACTGGCACTTCCCATCATTCATCATTTCTACTCAGAAGCCAGCGATCAGTATTCCAGTGCTCTAACATTATCATTCATTTGCATACAAACTCTGTCATTTGTTGCCCAGTACTGGGTTTTCTTTTAGTTTTCATTTCATACCTCATGATGTAGTTCAGTATTTACTTTTATTATCCCAGTATATTTTGTAACATCACTCATCCAGATTACTGTCAACGCCCAGATGGAATTTAAATGTCCATCTTCATTAAAAGTCTTACCTGCCTATCAAAAACTCAAATGCTGTCAATTGTGACTCCACCTGTCCCTTGCTTTGGCTTGTGTTGAACTTCTCCCACTTGTCAGAAGTACTGGGAACGTGCTCCTTGAAAACTCAGGCAGTTTTTCAAAGCTGTTTGCAGAACCTGGATTGTTTCCAAAGAATGTAACGGTCTGCTAAGTGTTCTTAGCACTCTCTTGCCTACAGACTGTTCCTACAAACTCGAATTGGGACTTCCCTTTGTGTAGATCCAGTAGTGGTTTTGTTTTCTCCATTTGAAAAGTAAGAATTTGAGGGAACTGGCTTATTCTGCTACAGAACAAGCTACACAGGCTTTCAGGATTGTGGTGGTTTGGGTGGATTCAGGCCAAACACAGCCTGCTCTCTCCCCCTCCCCGCCCTGTTGCCCAGGGAGTAGGGGAGAGAATTGGAAAGAAAAGAGCAAGGAAACTCAGGGATTGAGATAAAAACTATTTACTAATTAAAATAAAATTATAATGATAACAACAGTGATACACAGTATATAAAGATACACAGATATATAAATGAGTGATACACAGTACAGCTGCTCCCCACCTGCCAACCAGTGCCCAGCCTGTCCCCAGCCAGCGATACCAGAGCCCAGACAGTCCTGAAACCCAAACCCCAGAAGAGCGAGAGCCCGAGTGATCCCCGAGAGAATACCCCCGATTTCCAGTCAGCCCTGGTTAATATACTGACGTGACAGGATATGATCTGGAATATTTCATTGGCACATCCAAATGCCAGTTTTGGGCTTTGCTATTCACTCCATTTCTCCCAGTCCTGGTGCAGCTCTGAAGCAGCCAAACACAGTGGCCTTGAGCTCCAGCAAGCAACTGATAACATCAGTACTTTTATCAACATTCCTCTCATACCAAGTTCTACACCGAAACTAAAGCACAGCTATTCTAACTACTAAGAGCAAAATTAACTCTATCCTAGCAAAACCAGGACAAGGGTACAGCAGGTTTGGTGTCACAGGCAGTACCCGTAGTGGCCTCCCAGGAACAGAGCAAAGATACGTCCATTCAAAACAAGCCGGCTGTAGCTGTCGTGCTGTTTAGTACCGAGTAGTGTATATCCTCTTGGTTCAAACACATCTTTTCACTGACTGCCTGTGCGTTCCAACTTCCTCGTTGTCCCTTGCTTATGCTGCTCAGGTAACTACTGAGCAGTGGTGTGGGCTGACATGAGTAAGATCAGAGGACAGGCATCACACACAGGAAATCTGCATGTTGTGAAGGGAAGTTTTAAAAGCTACTAGGAGAGAGAAGTTTCAAATGCTGTACTGTCTTCTGCAGGTGGGATGTTAAAAATAATTCCTGGACTATAACTCGGGAACTGAAGCCTTTGGTTGTCAACTTGGACTTCCGGAGAAACAACAAAACAGTATTCAGATCTACAAATTTTGCAGGATACATAGGCATGGTGTCTGGAGTCAAACCAGTAAGTATGGAGAGGAGGGCTTGTCAATTTGTTGATAATACTTGAGACTTTCCTTTCAGATGTAAATTTTCTTGCTTTCATCCTCTTCCTTGGGATGTTTTTTTAATAAATGATCTCTTAATTATTTTGGTACACAGTATAGCTCTTTGAAGAAAGGTGAAAGAAAACAATACTGCACTCTTCCTTGTAAAAGGAGATTGCCTAAATGAAATATTTATTTTTGGACAACTTTTAAAAACAATGTTGATTTCTGGATAGGAACAGGAGGGAATACAGAGTGCTTAAGTGGTTGAAGTTTCTTGCTAGCACATGGATTCTGCTGTGATCCCAGAGGTGAACCAGCATGCTTTTGCTATTTAAATTATTTCTCCAGTCTTGGAAAAGGAGTCCTGCATTCCAAGATTTTTTAATTATTTTTTTTATTTTTAATAGGCCTGAAATGTGAGTTTTATCTACATCTTACAAACTAGCAGTAGAGACCTATACCAGCATCTCCAGCTTACCACAACTCCTTTTCTATCTGCTCTGCATTTATGCTCTATTATAGGTGGCCTTTTTCATAATATCCTTTTTTTTTTTTGTCTTGGGAAGAGAATAATAAATTGAGAAGAGTTGATTCTGAAAATGATCCAGTGTAGCTGAATTCCACTTTCCTCTGAAAGAAACACTAGTTGGAGAAGACTGGGATTTGAGCTTGAATTGCATGTTGCAAGTAGCACGGATTGCATTGTGTACAGCTGTGTGCCCGTGTGAACAGCAAGAATATATCAGGGTGTACTTAGCACTGGGACTTAAAATCTGCCTTCAAACTAGAATAGCATTCAGAGGTCTGAGGAGAAGATTACATTACATCAGGGGAAGAAAAGCTGGTAATTCAGTGATACAACAAGGAGCAAGAGAAGAATGGCCACAGGCTTGACTTGCTTAGCATAAAATCATGGTTTGGTGGATTGCTCTGCCAGGTCAGAAGACTATGAATTATCATTTCTACTTACTCAGGCGATGATGAATTAGGTTATTGTCTGCATGGGCTTGATCTTGCAGCCCATTACTCAAAGGGGAAGAGTCTAACAAACAGGAAGCTCAATTGGCATGTAAATTTTTATTACTGGTATAAATGTGCTGGTGATGGATGAAGGTTGATTTGTTTAATGCTTTCTAGGACTTGTTCACTTTGACAATGAATGAGCGTTTCAGTCTTGATGGTGGTTATATTGGTGAGTAATGCTCATTTCTTTCATTAATTCTCTACAAGTTTTCCAGACCTTGGGCACACCAGTCACCTTAATAAACAGGCACACAAATGGTGAAAAGATTCCAGATGAGTAAGATAAACCACAGTTCATTTTAAAGGCTGTAAAAGTTAGAATAGCACGAGTGAACCTTCTGAAAACAAATTGTTGTAACCTGTGATATTTTGCAGGAATCTTTGAATGGTTTCTTGGTAGAAGAGATGGGATGTGGATGGGCTTTCTTACAAGAACAGTATTAGAGAATGCTACAAGGTATTCACCCCCCCACCCCCCAAATATTCTGCTGCTTTAATCTGCTTTGCTTCCAACTGGCACGAATACTGTAGATGTATGATTACTGTCTAATGATACAGATATTATTTTTTCTAATGAATTTATTGGTATCTGAATGCATAACAGCATTCTGCATCAAAACACATCCAACAGGTAGTAGTATATGGTAGGAAGTAAATAGAAACAAAACTTGCATACAGTAAATGAATTAGGTGGAATATGACACAGCATATCATCATTTTATTCCTGTTTGAAATGTAGAAAAAGTGCAAAGAGCACCTCTCAACAACCATACTTTAAATACAGAGTGAGTGGAGGAACTCTGCTTAAATGTGTTCCTTCATTGCGATACAATCCCTTCATACGTGCATGGAAGGGGAAGGTGTTAACTGCCTAAACTTCTCCTGGGTCTGTGAAACTCCTTTTTCAGCACTTGAGCCATTTATAGCATTTAATAGTACAACATCACTTTGTTACCTGCAGTTACCAGGATGCAAAAGACAAACTGGCAAAAACAAGACTGCTGGCTCCAGCTTACTTTATACTGGGTGGAAAAAATTCTGGAGAAGGATGTGTAATAACTCGTTCCAGGACAGCTGCTCTGGATATCTGGGAGTGAGTATCCTTGACCTGGCACCTGACTCAGCCTTCCAGAAGAGGACAGGTTCCGCAAATAATTGTGTCCTGTGTTTCCTGTGACTTCTGTTGTGCAACTCAGTTCTTTAGCCTGATTGAAAAATACCGCAGCAAGGCTGAAAAAAAAAGTCTGGCTGTATATAGTATAGACTGTATATGTACTTGCTACATAGTCAGACAAGCGAAACACAAACATCTACCTCTTTTCCAGCCTCGACATCAAGAAAGGCACGTGGTACGTGCTAGAAACAAACTATGATCGCTGGAAGCCTCCACTAATCTTGGATAATCGTAGAGCACCTGCAATGAAGTGCCTGAATCAGACAATGCAAGAGGTAAACATCCTCCAAATACCTCATCTTGCTGTTTTTGAAGCTCCCAAGTTACAGTGCTGGTCTGACACTGCCAGGAGCATTCAGGGCATTTGCAAGCACAACTGGAATGACCGAAGTGGCTAACAGTTTTGTGATGATTTTGTCTCTGCTTATGGGTAATAAAGTAGGAGGTGGCTCTTTACACAAATGTTTTTTAGTTTTAGGCTTTCTTTTCATCTAGGTAGGTTTCCTGCAAGCATTTGCTGTGGCTGCGTATGCAGGAGGATAAACTTGAGAGAGATTTTCATTGTTTCCTGAGCTGTTTTATCACCAGTAGGATCCAAACACACACTGTCAGGCAGCAAGCACTGACACTCAAGTGTCCCATTCTGTACTGAGATCTGGTCTGCTCAGGTTTTTGCATCTCATATTCTTCTGATCTCAAGATGTATGAGTTTCATATACTCTTAAAGCTTTATCTTACTATCTAATTGAACAGTAAAAAAGTTACAGTTCGTTGCATTTACACTAACAGGTTAATGTCCACTAATATCAATGTATTATTTTATTTCAGAACATCTCCTTACCAACAATTTATGATGTTCTCTCCACAAAGCCTGTCCTCAATAAGGTAATGCTTCTATTTTTGCAGAAAGTTTAGAGTGGGGGGCAGATCACTAACTACTGTATATCTAAGGAGGAGGTCACAATTGAACATTCAGGGTAAAACTCCAAGTAGCCTGAGCCCTTTCCTCATAGCTGGCTCTGGTTTGAGGCAGCATTTGCACTACAGGCAAATGGGCCCCACAGTTCAAGAAGGACAGGGAACTGCTTGAGAGAGTCCAGCGCAGAGCCACGAAGATGATTAAGGGAGTGGAGCATCTCCCTTATAGGAAAGGTTGAGGGAGCTGGGTCTCTTCAGCTTGGAGAAGAGTAGACTGAGGGGAGACCTAATTAATGTTTATAAATATGTTAAGGGCGAATGTCATGAGGATGGAGCCAGGCTCTTCTCAGTGATGCCCAGCGATAGGACAAGGGGCAATGGGTGTGAGCTGGAACACAGGAGGTTCCGCTTAAACTTGAGAAAAAACTACTTTACAGTGAGGGTGACAGAGCACTGGAACAGGCTGCCCAGGGAGGTTATGGAGTCTCCTTCTCTGGAGACATTCAAGACCCACCTGGATGCCTTCCTGTGTAATTTTGTTTAGGTTCCTGCTTTGGCAGAGGGATTGGACTAGATGATCTTTTGAGGTCCCTTCCAATCCCTAATATTCTGTGATCTCAGCGACCCTTCTAACCTGAATTTACCTGTGATATATGCCTTTATAAGTAGCATGAAACAGGTTAGTTTACCTCATGGTTTAGGTGTAGTACGGGCACATTCTTCTTGCAGCAGAAGATGTTGTAGTCTGAACTTGAGGTTTTGGTGTTTAGAGGAAAAAAAAAAGACTAAAGGGGTGAGAGGAGTTTTTGAATGATAAAGTTTAGTTACTGTATTCAGTGGAGGCAGCACTCGTGGCTGAGGCCACAAGCTCTTCATGCTTGTATGTTTTTGACTAAATAAGATAAATGTTCATTTTAGTTGAACTGTTCAGCTGGTACCAGAGACAGTTTTTCACAAATTGCTGTAATGAGGCTTTCTCTTTTCTTTTCTTTTTTTTTTTTCCCCTTTTTCTTCTTCCTCCCACCTCTCTGTTAGCTGACTGTGTGCACAACGCTGATGGAGGTGGATAATGGTCATACAGAGACGTACCTGCGGGAATGCCCAGATCCCTGTAGTCCTTGGTAGTCCTGTACCATGTTGGAAGCTGCTTGTCTGAATTGGACATCCTCCAAGAAAAAATACTTCTGGAAAAAATTTTTCAGCCTAACTCCTTTCTTTAGAAATCTAATGGCTATATAGAAATGTCAATGAGCTTCTAACAACGGAGGATCCTGTCTCACACTGGACTTTCTTGCTTTCTGATCAGCAGTTCTGCTGACGAGAAATGTATACTAATGTATGTCTGGTTTGATTTCAGCCACTTCTGCCACATGATTTTCAGCAGTTAGCTCTAGATCTCTTCAGTCTTGACAGTATTCTTGGTTTGAATTGTTGTTGGGGTTTGGGTTTGTTATTTTTTGTTATTTGGTTGGGGTTTTTTTTAGATTAAAATACTTCTGAAGCACACATGAGTTAAAATGGCACCTACCAAGCATGAAAAAGAACTGGGTGTAAGACCACCTGGGACAGTACCATTCTGTTATTCTTTTCTAAGCACTTAAGATGAATTGCTAGTGTTCTGGTCCAATATGAGGATATGTCTAAGATGCTCTGTTATAAAATAACCTACCAAGTGTCATATCTAATCCCAGAAACAAAGTCTTGGGGAAGTATCTAAAATGAGATCTGAGCCAAAAAATGTCTGTTCATTGATGTATAGATGTTTTGCTGAAGCTGTCTTGTCCTGTTAATGGATTTTTTTTAATACAGATTTTTCTGTTATCTCAAAAAAATTAAATACTAATACAATAAATATTCTTAAGAACTACCTATTTTGACCAAAGTACACATGCCTTGATTTCATACCTCAGTGGAAGTCGCCATGCATGGTAACATACCACACAGCAGAAAGGGAAAGGGCGTTCACTTCCAGCTAGACTGATTTTAACAGTGTCCAAAAATTATTTCTTTCTTAAACTGACAGTTGAAACTATTGCTGCAATGGGAAGTAGCCAACTACTAATAGTGATTGGGTTGTCTGGGGGGATTTTGGTTGGTTGGTTGGTTTTTGGAAAGTTGGCAATGGGGGCAGGGGGGCAACTAAGTCAGACTACAACACTGGCCAGAATTCAGATTAAGAAAGTAAAGGTCTGTCCTGGTTTTTGCTAGGATAGGGTTAAGTTAAACTAACACAAACTCCTTTAGAAATAGAGAGAAGTACAGGCACCCTGATATCCTAGGAAACAAATAATGTAGAATAGTTTTATCTGTGTCACTTGCTGCGTTGCTGGGACTAGCTTCCAGTGCCAACTCTTGTGTTCTATAACATGCAAAGAGAAGACAGTGGAGAGTAAGCTTAGGAGCTGGTACGTATGGTGGGTCATTTGCAATCTTTTCTTAACCACCCTAGGAAAGAGGTGCTACTCATATTCCCATTGAGCCATGAATGTAAAGTCATCACTGGTGTAAGGGATGCGTTTGCTGTCCCTTTGGTGTCTGCAGAGACAGTATTGCCATAAGGCATTCTAACTAAAACCTGCAAGTTCATGGCATCCAGTTGCAGTGTGATTCTTGACAGCCAGGCCATGTAGAACAGTATTGGTGTAGTGAAGAAGTTTGGAACATACTATGTTGCTCTGTTCCAAACAAATAGTCAAGGCTACTACAAGATTTTTTTAATAATTGCAAATTTAACTCTAAGAAGTCTACAGAAGGAAAAACAAGTTACTGCCCATGAAACTGAGATGCAAAGTTAACTTTCATCCAAGTATGAGTGGCTAAGTTTTGTTTAGCATTACTTTCTTTGCTAAAAGAAATATTAAAAGATAACCTTTAATCATCCCTTGTTACAGTAACTAGGTTACCAGCTTACAGCAAACTCTGCTCTTATTAGAGGCTCTCCCTCCATCAGCACTGGAAGTAGGGACAAAAGGAATGCTATTTGCCAAATAACTTTAGCAGCTGATAAAGAAACTTGGCATCTGTTTGAAGAAAATTATATTCTAGGCCTTAGAACAATGCTTGTAGTAGCACAGCGAGGAGCAGTTCAATGGGATGTAAAGCACTGACACAGTGAGAGCACGCAGAGATCAGGATCCCACTATTTAAACTGGCATTAAAAAGGGGGCTAGTCTAGTTGTACATGATTTTGGTTTTTTTTTAACCTGATGTATGCAAGCAGAAGCAGCTCAGCATGACTGTACTGCCAGAGTCCGTTTTTAGTCTCAGTTGTGAATATTGAACCTATGTAAAGCAAAATCAACATGGCACTATGATTTAGATTAGGGGAACATGCCTGTATAGTGTGACGTGCAGCTTCTGGGACATTTGACTCATGTAAAATGGTTAAACCAAGTGAAATGTTAGTCTGTACCATGAAGGGCACATCATATACTGCTGAGTTTGCACCATAATCTGACACGAGGTTGTTTAGATTTGTTTGGAATTAGTTGCATAACAGCCATAATCAAATTACTTTGTCATTTAAAAATAAGTAGTAACTTTACTTGCTTAATTAGTCCTGTCCCACTTTACCATAGTGGAGCACGGCAGTGTAGACTACTTACAGTCATTAACTAATAAGCTTTGGTGTGTCCCTTGTGCATGATAATCCCCGTTTCCACACTGGAAATTGCTTTACAATTGCAAAAGCACAGCTAGATCCCATGGATGGCTGGCCAGAGCCTGAATGCCTTTGCCTGCTATTGACCAAAATAAACAAAGATATTTAAAAACAAAAACCCCACCAACTGTCTTCCAGTGTCTGCCTTAATACAGAAAAAGTTATTAATTGCTTATGGATTCAACCTTCATGTGTCTACCCTGAAAGCACTTCTGAAGCTTTACTCTCAAGCCCAACAAAAAGTTTAATTTGCTCTTGTTAGACACATCTATTTTTAACATAAATTTACTGCCTCCCCCCTGCTTTTGCTGCCCTAGGCACAGTAATGGAAGCTAAGATCATTTTGCTGAAGAAATGCATACAACTATTGGGAATTTAAATTGATTTTAGCTTCCTTAAAAAAAAATTAAAATAAACAGAAACACACAAAGAAAGAAAATGAGTATGTTTCTTCATACCAATTTGCTGTACACATTGTTGAGGTACCTCAAGTACTGAGAGGGCGGTCTGATTTATTTTTTTTTTCCAGGTTTGTTTTTTTCCCCAGGCCAGTAAGCAATCATATATAGTTTCTCTTTTAAGTTTAAATAAGAGATTTACACAGCTTTACTTGTTCTGTTGTGAAAAATCATCAAATGTTTGAAAAAAAAAATTGTAAGCAACAAGAAAAACATACTTTTTATTATTACCGCATAGTCTGGTCCCGTGAAGAACAGCCTCAGTATTTTAGCCTCTAGCAGATTTTTACTGTTAATGTAAATACAAAGAGTTAGTCCAGTTTATTCTGAACTTGATTAAATAAGGCGTTACAGGAAAGACAAAGCATTTGTTTGGGCGCTGGCATTTAAAGGAAAAGTATGTCAGTTTGACAAGAAAATTTTAACACCTCTACAATTTAAGAAACTCATGTGGTGAAGCCCCACACCATTTCAGAGGAAGGAAGAATGGCATCTCCCATGTCAAAAAGCAAAATGTTGGCAGCTAGTGAGGAGAGGAGAATCTGAAAAAGGAATTCGATTCTATCAAAATCAAACAGTAGTTTTGGGACACACATGCAAGTAAGTTTGCATTAGAGCCAGTTTCAAGTTAAGGTTTTGCTTAGAAGCAAAACTCCAGAGCAGCACCCGCAGATGTCCTGGGAAGTATCTGCCAGGAAAGCAGCAAGAGTAAATAGAAGACTTGAGCTGGAGTGAGCAGGCAAGATGGACTGTGGACAAACAGTTGAGAGCTTAAGGCAGGCACTTCAACTAACAAAATACTCCTCCCTCCTCCACAAACACCTGTCCCACCTTCACATAGCCAGCTCTTTGGGCTACGGGTGGAAGGAGAAAGAAGGAAATACAAACAAAAAGCTCAAAAGCTTGGATTTCACCTTAGTGGCAATGGCAGGCAAGTGACTGGCTTATGCCATGAATTGTCAGCTGGACACTCTCTTCCTCTTTTGACAAACCAGAAGTGTTGGTGAGAAAGGTTCACCCAAGCTCTCTGAGCAGAAAAAACTCTCATCCTTTGCACCAGAAGAACAAGGTGAGCTAGAAAGAATAATGCTCAGTCAAAGCAGTGGCAGAAACCACAATTTGCCTTGGGAAGAAATCTCCAGATATTTATGCGTTTTACAAGAGGCTACCTTTGACTGTTAAAAGAGTCTGGAAACACAACATACCAGTTGGCCAAACACTGTAATCAAGAAGCAAGCAGACCATGCAGTTATTCCCTCTTAAGTCTGCCCACCAGTTTTTCAGAGCATCGTAATTTGCAGTATCAAAGATTTTAAAGGTCCTTTGTAGCTCAGTCTGCTCCCACGCTCTGTTAGAGGAGAGGACAGTAATTACAAAGGAGTTAGTCTGTTTACATGCTGAGAAGCACTGTACTCAGGACATTTTCTGATCTGCAGTGAATCAGCTCTGAATTGTATTCATGGTATATGGGACAACCTCTCAGTCTAATTTGTTTTGCAGAGTTTGTTCTCTGAGCTCCAGGGTTATACATGAGCAATAGAAGAATCCCAGTAGTGAGGCTGCCTCCGTTGGGGATTTAAGGTAACTCCAGTCATAAGCCCTGCTTAAGGTTTTCCACTATTAGTTTTGTCTTTCTTTTAAACCTGCTATGCTTTCTGTATTAGGCAGATACCCAATGTAGAAAAAAATTAATCCCTAGACTTTTCCCTCTTTATATTTCAGTGAAAATGGTTCATCTCATTACGAAAGATAAGCAAAATTTTTGTTTGTTTGTTTATAGTCAGAAAATAGACCACAAGCATTGCGTTGTTGCAAAGGGCTGAAGTGCCATCTTGTTTTTGAAGCAGAGCTTTAATTCAGGTGCCTGGAGATGTTCGTATTAGACTTAGCCTTTTCTCAGGCAACACCCACCACCTGAATGACGCCAGTATTTAAATCTTTGAGTAGTTACATATAATGTCCATGAACTTAGTTCCCAAAATGCTACATCTGTAGTCATGCAAGAGGTGTACATCCACCATCCCCTGAGAGCTGGAAACAGTTCTCTTAAGATAGCCACATCCAGCTGCAGAAGGTGTGCCTTCTGCATGAACCAGGTGGGAGAAAGAAGTAGAAGCAACTGGATGGAGAGAAGAAAATAGGAAAAAAAAAAAAAAAAAGATAGGAGTAGGAGCCAGAGTGTCAGGAGAAGAAAGAGAAGTAGAACAAAACAGAAAGACAGCTGAGAGTGGCAGGCTATGAAGATCTAGCAACTGAAGTTTTCTCCTCTGCTGACCCCG